GAAGACGATCCGAGGCCGGGCAGGAGCATCGAGGTGACCACGCCAGAACTTATCCAAAAAGTTGAAAAAATTGTACTGGAAGATTCTCGACTAAAGAAGAAACAACTCGCAGAAATGGTTGGAGCATCAGATACAACCATTTTTAAAATTCTTCATGATCATCTTGGCATGACTAAGGTCAGTGCAAGATGGGTGCCGAGAATGCTCACGCCGCCGCAAAAACAACAGCGCGTCGAGTGTTCACGTGCATTTTTGGACCTCTGTAATGAAGACAAGGACGATGTATTGAGTCGAATTGTTACTGGAGACGAAACTTGGGTTCATCATTATGAACCTGAGTCGAAACAAGACTCCATGCAGTGGCATAAAAAGGGCGCAGCACCCCCTAAGAAGTTTAAGGTGTCCCAGTCAGCTGGGAAAATCATGGCAACGGTCTTTTGGGACTCGGAAGGAATATTATTAATCGACTATAAAGATAAAGGTGTTTCTATAACCGGGGAATACTACGCTTCAATATTAGAGCGACTTAAAGAAGCCATTAAGGAGAAAAGACGGGGAAAATTGACGAAAGGTGTGTTGCTTTTGCACGACAACGCGCCCGTTCACAAGAGCCGCGTTGCGTTGGCTGCCCTGCATAAGGTGGGCTTCGATATTTTAGATCACCCACCCTACAGCCCAGACCTGGCCCCGAGTGATAATTACCTGTTTCCAAAAATGAAAAAAGAGCTGCGGGGTAAAAAATTTACCACCGATGATGAAGTCAAGGAGGCAGTTTCGGCGTATTTTATAGACAAAGACCAATAATTTTTTTATGAGGGTATACATAAATTAATTGAAAGATCTGAAAAATGTATTCGTCTTGCAGGTGAATATATTGAAAAGGAAAAATAATTTGGTTTTTTTATTTCCACTCCTTATCCCCCATTCCGCGAATATAAAAACGCTCCCTCGTACATAGTGGCTTGCTGCACTAGGTATCTTTGTGAGCGGCCAGCGGCATACGTGGGTTGCTGGTTAACAGTCGAAGAAACATAGTAGCCGACTGCAGTTGAATTTTTGTGAGCGGCCGGCGCGGCTCACGTGGCGTTGAGAATATTAAGTACTGTCCATGGACGGGTTAATTGGCTAGTGTTTTGATAGTACATTTTTGATTAATTTAACCGTCCAAGTAATTTTGACGTTGACTGTATACCTTTTTTTTTTTTTTATTGTGACTCGGCAAAATGACTGCACCGCGCCTGATGGAAAGTGCGAATACAGTCCAGAGATGAGAGTAACGGATGGAAAACACAAATATCTTCACTCCGTCACTATCATTTTGCCGGTCTGGCCAAATGCTTCTTCACACTACGTTTGAAGGACCCGATGTTATAGAGGGGAGGGAATACATGCGCCGGGAGTTGGTTCCACAATTTGATGGTTCGGCATAAAAACGAATTGCCAAACTTTTTAGTGCGGGACGGTATTGAACTGACCGTCCATCTGTGGCAACGCAGTCCGGCACGGGTGGTCCGCTGATGGAAAGGAGAGGAAGGGATAAGGTTGAATAACTCTTCAGAGCACTCACCGTGGTACAGGCGATAGAATACGCTAAGAGACGCTATATCTCTGCGAAGCTGTAACGACTCCGCATGCTCAGTTACATGAGGATCGTTGACAACACGGAAGGCGTAGCGCTGCAGTCCATCTAGGGCATCGAGCAAGTACTTGGCAGAGCCGTCCCAAAGGTGCGAACAGTACTCCATGCTGCTTCGGACCTGAGCTTTATACAACAGGTATCGCAGCTCTGGAGTAAAAAATCGGTGCACCTTGTTCAGGATGCCAAGCTTGCGCGACGCGGTACAGATGACGCTCTCGATATAATCTTTGTTGCTCATGTCCTTCCGGATGCTCATACCCAGCAGGCTGAGCTTGTCCTGCAGCGTCAGCGTTGTACCCTGAAGATGGGGAAGTGGAAGGAATGGGGATTTTTTGGAGCTGAACGCGCATACCTGGGTTTTCTTGGCGTTGAACTCAACCAAGTTTCGGGAGCCCCACGACGATATATGTTCCAAAACATGATTGAGCTCATCGACAAGTTTTTCCCGGTTTCTCTCAGGGTCCTCCCGGGTGCTTGACGATTGCTTATAATAGCAACCGTGCACTGTGCTATCATCTGCATAGCAATGAATGTTGCCAAAAGGCAACAAGTCATTGATATGCAGAAGGAACAGCGTGGGCGACAGCACGGAGCCCTGTGGCACCCCAGCATTAACTGTCACGAGCCGCGAAGTGCCTCCGTCAACAAGGACACGCAATCTTCGCTCGCGCAGAAAGCCGGAGATCCACTCACAAAGGCGGCCGGGAAGACCATATGCCGGAAGCTTGGAGAGGAGACCACGGTGCCAGACCCGATCAAAGGCCTTAGCAATATCCAGACTTATCGCTAAGGTTTCGCCCTGTTTGTCGATAGCTTCACCCCAGAGATGCATTAGATACGCTAGAACGTCACCCGTTGATCGGTTCGGCCGAAACCCGTACTGTCGATCATTAAGAATGGAGTGACGTTCCAGGTGCCGGATTATCTGGATATTTAGAATCCGCTCCATCACTTTGCAGAGCACTGAAGTGACAGCTATTGGGCGATAGTTTGTCGGATCAGACCGATCTCCTTTCTTGGGGATAGGTTGCACGTTGGCCTCCCTCCAAGCTAGGGGCACGTTACCAGATTGGTATGAGAGGCGGTATAAGCGCGTCAGTACGGGAGACAACTCCGCCGCACACCTTTTAAGGACGATAGGAGGTATCCCATCCGGACCATAGGCTTTCCGCACGTCAAGAGTCTGCAATTCCTTGCGGACATCACATTGCCTGACAACTATATCAGGCATTGTGACTCCGCAGTGGGGAATTGACAGCGGTTGCGCATCTTGGTCGTGAGTGCGCGAGTTAGCCCCAAAAAGGTCGGCCAATAAATTGGCTTTCTCTTCGGGGCCATAGGCCAAAAATCCATTGGGATACCTCAAAGGCGGCAGCGACGAACGACAAAAATTGGACTGCACAGCTTTGGCCAGGCTCCAGTAGGCACGGCTACCGGTGGGATGGGCTACCAGCTTCTGGCCAATCCGTGAAACGCGCTGGGCATCCGCTCTTATGTAAGCCCTCCTGCAAGACTTGGTTGCTTTGTTATAGGCTGCTTTAAGAGACGCAAGGTTGGGATCCTTTGTTACACGACCCCTGATCCAACTACGATATGCAGCCTGTTTCTCACTAACAGCGTCCATGCATTCGCGATTGAACCAAGGGCGTCCTCTGCGATTGGCGATGACACTGGAAGACGGTATGTAGTAATCCATAGCCGTTCCAATCTCATCGACAACAGCATCGGCAGCTGCTGAGGCATCCTTTCCCGCAAAGCAGTGCTGCAACCAAGGGATGGACGCAAAGTAGTCGCGCATACCATCCCAATCCGCCGACGAGTAGTGCCAAATGCGACGAGTGACCTCCTTCAGCTTAGTTGGAGGCATTTGGGAAACCTTACACCCAACCAAACAGTGATCAGAACTTCCCAGGGGGGCGCTGACTGATACTGTATAGTAGGTAGGGTGACTCGCGAGCAGAAGGTCAAGCAAAGAGGGTGCATGATCCGATATGTCTGGAACCCGGGTGGGCTGGGTTACCAGTTGGGTCAAGTCATGCGTGAGAGCGAAAGCGTGGGCAGTTCTACCTGCATAGTCAGTCTTGTGGGAACTTAACCATGATTCATGTTGAGCATTAAAGTCCCCCAACACGACCATCTCCGCAGATAGGAACTGCGCCTGCGCGTCAAGAGTCGCCTGGCTCAGTTGGTCAAAGAGCCTAGTTGTCTCCGCATCCCCGCTGTGGGATCTATATAAGCACGCGAAGACTCTAGCTGAACAACTAGATTCTACGAGCACCCACATAGTGGAAAAGGAGGGGTCCTCCAGGCAGCGCAGACGGCGACAGCACACATCCGAACGAATATATACACTTACCCCGGCTTTGGCCTGAAAGTTTTCCTCAAGCGAGTAGCCGGGGTAGTTCAAGTAACTCATATCATTCGGACGGCGGATCTGCGTCTCCGTCAGGAAAAGCAGGGCAGGCCGGGCTATCTCGAGGTGATGGTGGACAGCTTTGAGGTTGGAGTGGAGTCCGCGGATGTTAGCGAACTCAATAATAAACGCGGTGGGGGGATTAGGCACCGCTGGACGATCTGCATTCTTATGTTGCGCTGTCATGGTGGGTAAGAAGGACGGTAGTGTGAAGAGATGAAGCCTTCGGCACCGTACCGAAGAAGAAAAACGAGGGGAACTGCAATACATGCCATTGATCTTTTGAAGGATAGCCGGCTGACCCGCCGAATGGAAGGGCCCCCGTACCCCCCCGGGATATGCCGCCGGGACCCCATATTCCGGTCACTAACCGGCACGACGACCTACCCCAAGATTATACGCGGCATGGTGGGGCAGCCTCTAGGGGTAGTTAGTCCCTATTGGGCCCCTGTACTGTACCGCGGGCGGCCAGCGGACAACCGTTTTTACGGGTCTCCCTGGGCGGCAGGTCAACTAGATATCTCTCAACAAGTGACATGGCGAATATCCGCCTCAGTCCTCCCAGATACCGCGCCGAAAACTCCACGTGCACTGGATGTACACCAACTGATCCCTGAACGCGATTCGCAAAAGCGTTTCACTGTGGAGGGTTTTCCGCCGTGTGTACTGTGGTCGCTATCCAGTCGGCACAAAGCCTACCACAACGCTAAGCAGATGGACACTTGTGACGCCCTCGGTCGCCTCTTACGACCCCCACGGGCATGTATGGGGTGGCGACAATGTATTCTTAAGCCGTCGCCCCACGGCCCAAAACCTATACGTAACAATTAATGTATTTATGTTTGATGTTACATTGCAATGATGATGGAAAGTAACAAGCAATTAATGAATAAAAATGACCTTGAGCATGCAAAAAAGGCACTATAATCTAAACTTAAAAGCACTTACTTGGTAAACGTAGCGTACATAATATCGATAGGCACTCGGTATGGAAGTGTCAGCAGCGAAACGAATCTCATACCGCGTTGTCGCATCACCCAGTTCACTAGTCCGTTGTTGGCGGAGTCTATAGCGTTTTGGAATATCGTCATCACAGTATCTGGGAGGTCGTCTACTAAAGCATCCTGTGACAATAACAATTGAAAGGTAACAACATGAGGCATACGCAGGCGCAATCGTATGTTATAGATAATTTGGGAAGTCATATTATAACAAGTTTGACACTTTTATATAGAATGCATAAACATACAAGATTTAAAAATTGTGGTCCTGTGTGTAAAATCTCAGCGGTATAAGAAATTAAATTAAGTCTAAAAAAATTTACGTTGCCTACGTTACTGTATAAACAAACAATTAGCATTAATTTATCACTATTTATCATCGTTGTTCACGTTATTTTAAGACTGATTATGTTAGTAAATACACTTTTAAACCGCAAAAACTTAAGTTCAAATATACATTTGCTCACCTGTCTATGTGTCTTGCATTCCTCGCAGTCAGGGTCGTATTCGTACGTTGTGTCATCGAGCACGTCCTGTAGTTGAAAAGTAGTTTGCACAGCGAGACACCGCGTACAAGAGATCAGGTTGTTTCTATGAGGATCAGAAAATAAGAAGAAAATTAGAGAATTTTAACACCTGAAATAAAAAGTTTAAAACTTTTTTGTTAATTACCAAATTGGAACAAGGGCAATTTACGACTTAGGTAAATGTTGATAAAAATAAGATAACGAATACATAATTAATTATGTAAGTAATTAACGTTTTGTTTAAAAATACGACATAGGGAACACAATGGGATCAATCTCATAATAATTAAAATTAGGTACCTACCTGCCTGACTGTTCATTATTTATCGAAAATTATAAGGTAAATAAACTTATTAAGTTCTGAAAGCCAGTTCACATGACACGCGTACAGGTGACAAGCGTCAGCATGGGAATACTTGAATAAAATTCGTATAAACAGTTGGTGTACGAGTAAACGTAGCAAAACGAATGCTCAGCACGAGTCTAATGGCTCATTTACACCGGGTCGTTTGCAGACCTTCGGCAGACTACTTTGTCTGCCGAAGGCGACGCAGCAGTCGACTTCCCATTTACACGAGTTTGTACCTACACCGGGTGGCACCAGTCGCCTGATGACTTGGTGTAAATGCACCCTGACGCTTGTCATCTGCACCGCGCCTATCTCCTCTCCTCCTACGTAATCTATCGTAAGCCACAAAATAGCTGCAATTGATCATAAATAATTTTATTTTTATGCAGATCTATGATATTCGGCAGGAAAATTATAAAGCATGAAAAATAATGGCTATGTATCAGATTTAATTGCAATACCTCGAGAATCGCAGATATTAACCTCATTTTAGTCCTAGTTGAGACTTTGGGCTTACGATTTTTTTACGTAGGGATCAATCTATATAATGCTAAAAAGCAATACTGTGATACCTGTGAAGGAATCTGAGGGCGTCATCAAATCCTTGTTTGCACATACTGCTAAGTACTTCGGGTGTGGGAGGGAAGAGGATTCGTGCAAAACGATCCATGTTCTGTTTTGACAATTCTATACTCGTGTTTGCTACATTTACCTGTCGATGAAAATATTTTTTTATTAATGTATTTCAGATTGTAGGATATCCGCAAGGGAGAATTTTGAACGTGTATCATTTGTAAACGTATCATATACGTTAAAGTCGCCTGTAACCAGAAATGGTTAGTGCTTTCTCCATTTCTTCGATCTTGGCTGATACGCTGTCGCACTTTAAGTTAAGTTGGTACAGGGGGCACATTCATACACCTGCATTATCTCCATACTTTCAAACATAATAGTAGTTGTGATAATACCAAAACGTGCCTTTGTACGTGTGAGTAATATACATGCAATGATGCAGCTCACCAATCAGCCGTTGTCGTTCGACAGGTCACAAAGTGTTTTCACAGCCGTTGACTAAAAAAAATAAGCGACACAAATACGAGTACCACTGCATTTTTGTTCATTTTACAGGGTTTTATGTCTTAATACAGGGAAAACTAGTGTTTTCAATAACTAGAATTGCATGTGATTTTAAGAGAACAATAAATCTTGTTTTCTAAATGAGCTGGTGGGGTACTATTATACTCTAGTAAGTGGGGCAGTGGTACGTATCAAAATGCTCCTATTATTTATTATGTACGGAAAATATAAAGTTTCAAGAAGGTATTCTAAAGAGGTGAACTAGTGACATTTTGCGCTATAGTCAGCTCTCCTTCTGTATTTCTACTTCCGAGACTACATTACAAAGAACACTTTTCAAATAAGACGTTTTGATCTAGCAAGTGCTAAGGCACACATTATAGCGTCATACTTTATGAAGAGTTGATCACCTAGTGCTGATAATATGTAGCAACCAGGAATGCCACACTACGTTGATTCACACATCTAAGTGCCCGAAGGGAGTATCAAAGTATATGTGGGGCAAAATTGGACAAATCCCATTTTTTGTTAAAATCAAAAATTTTCAATTATTCATTGCTATTTACGAAAGAAAAGCTTAAATTAATAATGTTTATTAGTTATACTATCAATTAGGTAGAAAAAAATATTCATTATAATTTCATTTAGTTGCCAAAAATTAAAGTTAAAAAAAGTGTACGAATCTGCCCCGCTTCCCCTACCTAATTGGCTGTATTAAATATGGTATTAATCGGTAAAATTATTGATAATTTATTCCTAAGGTAGTATAATACTTGTATTGATCAATGTTCGAGGTTCGCGAGTACTGAATATTGGTAAGCAGCTTAGTAAGTGAGTTTTGTACTTTTAAAGATTGTTGCGGATCATGGCACTTCCGTTTCATCAACAGGCTTTGCAAATTAACACATTTTTTTTGTACTCCATTACACATTGACGGAATCGCTACTGCGGTTCAGTTTATATAGGAGATTGAAAAGGTGTAGAAGAAGTTATTCTGTACTAATATGTTAAGTAGTAAAACTTACATGAAACAGCTGTGAGCTCAAATCTCTCGGGCAAATATCACTCTCGCCACAGAATGGGCTGACGGTGATGGTATTTTCATCTAGTACAGGTAGGTTGTCGCTGAACCCTCCATCCATGTAGCGGATGCCGTGAAACTGAGGGGGCAGCATGCCCGAGAATACTGGTACGAAGCAGGAGGCTAATAACGCCTGGGGAATTTATTTTTTGGTTAGTTTAACTGCATGCTATTATTATTGAATGAGAATTGTAATATTATGCATCTGACGGACACATTTATTTTTTTGAATATCATGACTTTTTACTAAATGATATTCATATATTTTAGTGAAAATACTTCACTACTTTGTTATTATTATTGATACAAAGATCGAACTAACACAAAGAAAAACTCCTAAGATCCGACTGGACTCGAACCAGCGTATGTTGCCTCAACGTGGCTAATTAATTAAGATAATGGATTCTGGAAAGTTAACAGTGTATTTTTTAATTTAATATTTTGTATTCAAAAATAAATTTTATATTTCTACAATCAATTTATCGTAAGGGTAAACTAGAGTGGCACTTCAGCTACGATTGACACTTTTGTTTATAGTCAAATAATGAGAATTGATTACGAAAATAAAATGAATGTTGCATGCAGTGTATTTTTTAATAGAAATGCTTAAAAAAATGACCGTAAAACCATAAACAAACATTCGAAAAAAAAAAATTACTTTCTCGCGATCGATGTAAAGTGCGTGAGAATTAATATAAGAGACGAAGCTTCTATAAGCAATTTAAAATAGCAACGTATAAATGTTTTATGTTGATATTAATAGTATTTGTTTTTTATGTGTTCTCTGCAATAATCACTATTAACTATAGAAATCCAACAAGCCAATCAATGGTAAAAATCATTTATCACAGTACAAATACTGGCAGTGGCGAGTGCTACTTGTCATTCAAACAATTGTTTACACTCTACATTAAATTTGTATATTACAAAATAATTTATTTCACAATAAGACTGTGAAGGTACATTCCAAATTAAATTATGACATAGAACAACTCAATTGTAGCGTACATCGCGTACAGAATTGTCTACGATGACCACTAGGCAAAGCCTCTCTCGAAGATCATCGATAAATTGTTACTGATAAAAAAATAACGCTAGGAAAGAATAATATCAAAGAATTTTTTACAATACTTAGAAAATTTTATGCCTCTACAAATCAAAATTCATGTCAATTCACTGTCATTGTGCAAAAATATTGTTTCAAGTACGTCGTGTTCGTAGTCTTACTTATGGTAAATTCTACATTTATGTATACATCAATTTATAACTGTTATTTTTAAGTGGTATACAAAGTCAAGAGCACGTCAAGCCAGGGCTCCGTCATTGTGTCGCGCAAGCTCTCATACAAATCTTTTATAAGCCTTGGGCTTCGTACGGCGGGGAACGTTATTTTCACCTCTCTGAGCGCGTGCTTAAGTTCCTTTTTCCTCGTAATGAGCGCTCGTGTCATTAGTCAGACTTAGCAGGCTACTATAGGTAGGTATTTTCCATTTTGTATGAGAGTGATGTATCTGTTACGTAGTAACTATTAAGTAATTTGTGGTCAAGCTTGGTGTGCTGTACCATATCGCATATGCTAATCATTACACTTTCGTCAATTTTTGGAAATATTTCATAGTCATTGGCAAATATTATTATAAATTAGAATAATTAAATATGTAATGTTAAATACAGTGTTTTTAGGTTTTTCCGGTAGTTACACGTTGGAAATGAATCTATTTTTCCCAGACTGACATTATCAGTCAGTCCTGTTAATGGGAGCTGTAAAGGGCCCGAAACGCTGGTTTGTTGGAAAAAACAAATATAGGTACGAGATTCCGAATCCGAGAATCCGAAAAAATAGTTCAATTTCCTACCTATTTAGTTACCTCTGTGCAGTATTGGGTTGACAAAAATGTGCGTGCGGTATCATAGTATAAATGAAAAACATTTCATCATCAACCCATTTCTGCCGTCCACTAACTAAGAGGCGGCTAAGTGACAAATGGTGAAATATTCGTAAATATTCGTAAGCAAAAGACTGTGTACAATTCTATTTTAAAAACAGTTTAAATTAATTAACATGTTCGACTTATCGGAACTTACCCTAACGATGCATAGCTGAAATATCATTAAACAATTTCAGTATTCTAAAACTGGGTTATGGTTTTTTTATGACACCTCAAAAAAATATTTTGTTGCTCAAGCGGAGTTCCACCGCTGGGCAAAGGGTTTAGACCATAGTCCGTCATGCTGGCCCTACCTACTTAAGTATATGGTAAGTACCTATGTATTTTAATAATGGAACAATGGATTTCACAACTCAATTTCAAATCGCAATATTGTGCACAATATATGAAAAATATTGTAGTTTCTAATACCGTTTCGATCAAACGATCACAAACAATAAAATAACAATTGTCAATAAAAAAAAATTAGGGGTTTGTTTATACTTTAGCGCAGGAAGCGTAGCCAGCAAGGTCGCGTTCTATGATAGGCATTGTGGTTAGGATATCTAGTTTACTGATATCAAGGATACCCACAGGATGGACATGACCTAATTATGTATAAAACATACTTAATTTGTCATGACAGAAAAACATGTTACTCTATTTTAAATGGTTTTAGATTCATTTTTTAAAAAGCCGTGGTAGCTTAATAGTTTAACCTGTGCTCGTGCCTCTCAAGCAGAAGTCGGTGTTCGAATCGAGCTCGCACCTCATGAGTTTTCAGAATTGATATGCGAAATTGAATTTGAAATTTGCCCTGAGCTTTTCAAAGGTTGACAACCTTCGGAACACGTGAGAAATCCCCAACCCGCATTGGGCGGACTATTGCCTAAACCATAGTTTCCTAAAATGGTCCCTACAGCCCCCCAGCGGGCGCTAAAGAGTCCTATAGGGACAGTAGGGGCCTCGGCAGTAATTGGGGGCGTAGATGGGGCCCAGGGGGTGCTACCACATTTGAAAAAGAAACCTGAATTATCTATTTAGTTTATTATTATTTATTTATTTAAACACTTTATTGTACCACAAGTAACTTACAATTTTTCAGAAACAATTTAAATATTTGTGTACAAAAGCGAGCTTATCCCATAAAGAGATTTCTTCCAAATAACCTTTGAAAATCTGAGAGGAAAGTTGGTTTTTGGGGTGGCACTAAAAATAGATAAGTAAAGAAATGGAATATACTATACTCAATAAATACACAGATAAATTTAATAAATCAAATGTACATACAAATACATATATATTAAGTAATGTTGATACATTAACACATGCAAAGTCTATAATAAAATGAATGTACTAATAAAACTCAATATATCAAATGTAAATAAATATTTCAAAAGCTCTAACATGTGGAGTTTGAACAATCCCAAAACTTCAAAAGAGCACTCTTGAAAACCCGAAACGAAGGCGACTGTTTAAATACATTAATTACACATATAATTTTTTCCTTGTGATTTTTTGTGTTAATATAAAAAATACGTATTTTTTGTGATGGTGGACGTTGAAATTTCTTTATGTCGCCTAAGTAGGTGGTGAGCCAAAAAGTTTGAGTGCCTATGGCCCAAACCCTCGCCTGAGCGGAGACCCGTACCCAGCAGTGAGACGTGTAAATGGCTTGAGGATGATAAGATACATTTTAATTATTATATTGGTAACAAAAGAGGCTTAGGTATGCCCTATATATTTTATATCCTTCCATATTGAAAAAATAATATAAAATATTTTTAATCGATTTCGTACATTTTCGTGGTGGTGGTGGTTGAGTTGGGTCTAAATCGTGTATATTTTTTTTTAATTTGTTTTAGTTTGTTTGAAAAACAAATATACGCGACTCAGATTCGAAAATAATATAGTTTCATTGCTAATATTCTTTTAGTTCCCTTGGATCTTAATGCAGTAAAATGTAAACACATGTTAAGATCACGTCATACATAGTTTCTCTGTTATCGCAATAGATATGTATGTAGAACGCAATCTATGTAAAATAGGTACATTATTAACTAAGTAATATGACAAACATGAGTAATCGATTTACTGCATAAATATATGTTTTTTATTTGTGTAAATATAATGATTATTTAAATATTTAATACACAAACCTGTAAAAGATCTTCCCTTGTCGGAAATTCTGAAACTATAACATTCTTTCCATCATATACCCTCGTAAGGGATATGTGTAGCTTGCCACTGACTATCTTATGGACATCATGAGGTAAGTACTTCTCCAAACCCTCGAGGAGCACATTTTGTATATTAAATGATGGGCTGAACGGGCCAAGAGACCCTGCCCTCGCTTCTCGTACCACACGAAGAACATCGCTTGTGATTTCACCTGTTAAAAAAAATTATGTTGTGTAAAACTACAGGATGAGCTTTGGGCTTGCCCTTTTGTTTGGTGGTGCAGTCAAAGTAATGAGTGGCCAATTACAGATTGCCAGTCAGAAAAAAAGCAAATGACTGATAAAATAATACAAAGAAAAAATGTTTTATTATCGGCATGTGACGATGCACAGCATCATCATTTCATCATCAGTGTCTATTTCCGGTCTAGCAACGTCCTGTCTACGACTTACTCCAATGTGCTTCCCTCGCTGTAAATAGTAGCTCAACGGACTTACTTCCGATCGGCGCGATTTTCCAGTCACCTTAGCAGATACTGGCGCGAAGTGAAAGGAAAGGACTTCACTGCAAATTCAGTGAAAATAATGGAACCAATGGTAATGGGCTTATTACCCAGCGCGAGCTTCTTAACGAGACCTTGCAACAATTTATTAACTGGACTGCCTCTTCAAAATCAGTATCATCCGTGGACAGTATTTTTGACAAAATAGCCGAATTAAACAAAACAAAACCAGTGAGGAGATTATGCAAATGGTTTGTGATAAACGGGCCGAATATATCGAAACTCGCCGGGAGCGTATCCTGGGCGAGCTGCCTAACAAAAATCTTCGCGAGGGTCTGCGTAAGATACCTCCGAGTTCCAGGTACCTCTTCGATGATGGCCGAATGGAGAAATGGGATCGCCCTTGGTTTTATGCAGGAAAGGAGACCAGTAAGCCAGGGATCCCTAGGAAACTGAACCAACCGGGCTTTTCACGGGACTCTGCTAACCTTTCGTCAAAGAGTTAATGATGGTAGACAAAATAAAAAATTTGCAGGGTCCACAAAGCAGCCAGATCCGAAGAGTGGGAAAAAGTCTATAAGAAGAGCAGCCACCCCAACAAGAAACAGTTCAATAAATGACTATCTACCATGCCAACCCAAGTTCCATGGAGGCTGTCTACGAGCGTATTGGAGGCAGTGGCAGATGCTTCGGGCTCCGCAGGACCTTCTCAACATGATTACGAGTATGCGTCTGCCATTTACCTCCAGAAAAAACCTTATTTAACAACTAGAAGCAAAATATTTATACACATTGTAATACAAGCAGTGCATAAGTTCCATGCATAAGTAATAGGGACTTAGACACTTCTTGTACCAAGTCACAGTATATAATATTTGGCTTAGCAAACAGTAATGCCGACTCATTGCCAGCTATTGCAATGAGATTGATAAAGCAGAATATTTTTACTTCTTCATATATGAGTGAGGACAATGTAGTTATCACCAAAATGTAGACATGTTTGTGCTTAAAGATTTTTAAACACTATTACACTATACTTAGAATTGTTCCTTTCAAACTAAAGAATGTAGCAATTATATAATTTGAAATATATAAATGCAAATTAAAGTATCAACCGTTCATAGCATTTCTTTTTCCTAAATATTCCCATTTATGTGAAGATTCTAGGTATTACAATAGGAACCAATATTGTCAATTACATTTGAAGTGGACAGTTTCAATTAATCAAATTCACACACTTGATACCAATATCTACCAATAACATTACATGTCCTCAAGAGAAAGTGTAAGCAAGGTATAATCTTACTATGTATACTTTCACAACAAATACACATTATAAATAAGAATTATATGCTATAGTGTCTGTACTTACCAATAGGTAGTTCACATAGTAAACAACACGCAGATAAAGCACCGAAGGAAGCACCTGATATTTTTCCTAACAACAAATGCGGTGCATATTTCTTAAAGCACACAGCCACACCAACATGATAAATGCCGAGAAAACCACAGCCCGCGAAAGATAAATTCATTATAAAATCACATAAATTCCAAGACCAAAAATTTTAATACGAATTTCTATTTTCCAAAAGCACTGTTTTAAGGAAACTACTATACCGTACAAGGATTTATAGTCGACACACTGTCTCACTCGAAAACAATGTTAGTATTATACACTACGATTAGATTAGTCAGTAATTAATCTCAAGATAACACTGTATAGTTTCCCGTAAACCACAATGAAAAATTACGGTCACTACGTCCGTCATCAACAACTATTCGATTAACAAATGCGCACTATGGAGATATCAAACAAATAAAATCATTTATGCGATGTTTACTGCAACATTCACCTATACAGCTGCACATAAGAGATACTACAGCTGACTGTCAACGTCAATTAAACAAACAGGAAATGACGAACAGAAATTAATATGTCAGAATTTTTTTCTCATTTTTCTTGCTTTTCGCGGTTAGCATTTCAGTCACTTACTTAAAAGTTACAAGGACTTTTGACTTGTTTCGAAAGCTTTTTTTTGAACTTAAAACATAATGTAATATATTGGCCGAAACTGAAAAAAAATTATTGTAGATGTTTATTTTCTCAATACTGTGTTAACGATAAGTCAATAATTGATAAGTTTCCTCGTTTTAAAAATACACTTTGTAAGTGGCTGAAACGCTAACCGCGAAAAGCCAAGAGAAATAAGAAAAAGAAAGGTACTCTTTGGAAATGTTTGTGTTGGATTGTGGTGTTAGAAATTAACGACAGAATTCACTTTGTGTACATTTTTACTTGAATTTCTAATTTAATTTGTAATAATCTTTGTCAAAAATGACTCGACATGCAAGAAATTGCACTGCCGGAGCCGTTTACACCTACCATGAGAAGAAAAAAGACGCTGCGGCCTCTGGGTATGGTACACAAAGCGAACGATTTGGGAAAGACTCCGTCAAGAATTTTGATTGTTGTAGCTTAACCCTCCAGCCTTGTAGAAACCCAGTGGTTACTAAAGAAGGATATCTGTTCGACAAAGAAGCTATTCTTGAGTATATAGTTACTAAAAAGAACCAATACACCCGTAAATTGAAAGCATACGAGAAGCAGTTAAAGAAGGAAGAAGCAGAAAAAAATGAACTCGCAGCTGCCCAAAAAGAGGCTAACTTGATAAAATTTATGAATAGGGAGAAAAATATATCTAGTACCACTATTAAGGGGTCGGAGAACATGCCTTCGACTTCGTCTTCAATTTCGAACCTCGCGAATGGCAAAGACAAACAATTGCCAAGTTTTTGGGTTCCTTCTCAACTACCAGACGCCAAAGTGTCCAAGCTTGAGAAACCAGACTCAACAGTATATTGCCCTATCAGTGGGAAACCGCTGAAAATGAAAGATCTGATTGAAGTAAAGTGGACGCTGGTCAATGATCCTGATGACAAGAAATCTTTGATAGCTAAGGAAAATAGATACATGTGTCCTATTACTCATGATATTTTGAGTAATGCTGTGCCTTGTGCTGTGATCAGGTGGAGTTTTGTTTATTAGTTTTTATCTATGCATTTTCTTGTTTCCCAAAATATCTGGTGACAGGGTTCTCTGTTCAGAACCTGCTTGATGAACAACCCCCTACCAATTTCTATTGCAACTGGTATAGGGTTGTGGATTGAAGTGGAGTCTCGTAATTGTCTATCCAATATAAACATTTAGTAGCAGTAGAGCTTCTTGTGAAAGAGGTCATCCAGGTTAGTACTGCCATGTTACCTATTTCTACCGCTATGTGGTTATGTGAGCATTACTGTGTTCCAGTTTTGAAGGATAAGGGTGGTGGTGAAATTACAGGCACATGGGACTTGTCAAGTTATGTCCCAAGGTGACGGGCGCAGTGGCAGTTCCCCTCAGATCTTTGCGATTTAAAGCTCCTGTTGTCAAGCAACATGCCTGCTGTCCATAGCAGTTGCAGTGCCACTTAGAGTTTTAAATCGCAATGATCTGAGGGAAACTGCCACTGCACCTGTCACCCTGAGACATTTTGACTAGTCCCTGCCTGTGTGTATGTATGTGCCTGTAATTTCACCAGCACCCTTACCCTTCAAAACCAAAACACAATAATACTCACATTACTACTTGGCGGCAGAAATAGGTAAAGTGGCAGCACTACCCTGGGTGAACTCTTTCACAAGGAGCTCTACTGCTGGGTAATATGTTATATGTTTAGGATTATTAATAGGCAGGCAACATACCCCACCTTGATCTAGAGAACATTAAAATTTCCTTTTGTGTTTCAGGACAACTGGCCATGTAGTAACAATGGAGTGTGTAGAAAAAATTATCAAGAAAGACTGGACACATCCTCTGACTGGGGACAAACTGAAGGAAAAAGACATCATTCCATTGCAGAGAGGAGGCACGGGATATGCGTTCACAAATCAAAGCTTAGAGGGAAAGCATGAAAGACCTGTGTTACAGGCTTAAATAGTTTGACTTTTTAGAGTTTTAGTGTAATTGAAAATAAATACAAGTTATGTTAACACTTCCATAAATACTAATTGTAAGACGAAGTGTTAACATGCTACAAGTAGATGAGGTTAAATTGTATGGTCTTTCTACCATACTTGGAAATTATGCACTAAAATATCGTAATTAAATTGTAAAAATAATATTTATTACTCTTATTATATTCTAATTTGTTCAAAATAAACAGTTTCTTCAATTTATTAATTAATTATCCTTAACCTAGCACGAACCATTAAATGAAAAAAGATCTAGTTGGAAATCAACTGAATTGTTTCGAATTTCAGTCTCAGGATAAGCTAGGCCTAGATGTTCATTGCCTAAAGATTCTAAAAAGTTCAATACTGACTGCCCTTCACTTAACAATCTTGGATCACCTGTATTCAAATCATTTTCATCATGTATATTAACTTCAGATCTGAGATCATCCTTCACATCCATCAATGATGAATCAATCAATACATTGGATTTATCATGAATCATTGGTTCAATCAAGTCATCCTTCCTATGAGAGATTGAATTATAAACATTGTTCTCCTTGACATGTATTAGTGAAGGTCCAATCAATGTATCTTTGTCTTTTATATGCATCAATCCTGAATCATACAGACTGCTAGATCTTTCTTTTACATGTGATAAAGTTGAATCAAATGTACTACTTGACTTTTTTTCAATCAAAGTTTCAGATTTTGTATGTAAAATCTCATGTTCAAATAAATTATTTAATCTGTCTCTCACATTGGATAAAGCTGCCTCAAAACTTTTGTCATTAACATGTATCATTGATGGATTAATCAGACTATCTGAACTTGTTTTTCCGTGAATAGCTGATGATTCAAAATATACATTGGTATTCTCTTTCATATCCAATAAGTTTGGTTCAGAAGTTTCAAACAAACAGTTTGAGTTTTCTTTTACATGTATTAGTGATGGTTCAATCGACTCATTGGTCTTATCGTCGTGGATCATGGTTGATACAAGAATATTCGGTTTTGATGATGGTTCAAATAAACATGTTTTCTCTTTTATGTTCATTGATGTTGAACCCAGTACATCCTTTTCGTGTGCTAGACTTGATTCAAACAACAGTTTATGATGTGCTTCATCATTAGGTTCACTTATACCCCAATCTTCTGGAATGTGGTAGGTTAATTCATCGTTCATTACTGTGTCTCCTTGTAAGTTGTTATCTCCAAGTGTTACTTCAAAAGTTTGTAGTGGCTCTTGGTGTGTACAATTTTCACTTCCATCACTATTTGTACCCAAAGCTAAAGGCCTAAGTATTTGTACTTCAAAGCTTCTCATTTTGGTCACTTTCTGAGGATCTAGTTGGAATTTGCGCACCAAAGCCGACGGGAGTTTTATAGGCGATGAACGTATATCAAAATGAGTACTACGAAATTGCGGTTTGGGTTTTATACTTTGGTTATTTGAGGTAGGGATTTCAACAATTTCTTGTTTATCTTCTTTGTGTTTGTCTACATTTTCCGCCACAAGTATATTTACATCATTCCTTGTGACTGTGTTGTTGAGGGTTATTGCACTTTCATCTGGGTTATTTTGTATAACCACGTCTTCTACACCTAATTCTATGAATTGATCGCTTTCTGAAATAAGTCTCATTTTTTTAGCATTAACTTTTTGTGACTTTTGCTGTTTCAATTTCCATAATCTCTTACTAACTCTGGGCCATTTGTCAACAGAATTTATTCTAGCACAGTCTTCGCTCTCACTTTCGCTAACAGCGACGTCTTCCTTATGATTAAGTTGCGAAGATTTATTAACATCTCCATTGAATTGAGTTTTTGGTGCCGGATTGTGAACGCAGTAACCGTCTTTATCTTTCATGCAGTTTAACGCATTCATGTTGAGATTATATTTTCCTGGGTTCATGTCAAATAACCTGTGGACAACATTAATTTTTAGTATAAAAAACCAGCACTTATAAATGCGGGAATTATTGTCTATATAAAATTCTATGAGCTACACAAGCCAGGTGCACTACCTGATACGACACAGTACGTCAAACCGATTCCGAGATACAGGGCCGCTTCGCCTAATGTGTGACGGCCTTAGGCTCAATTTACATTGCGGCGGAACGGAATGGAAGCGAGTTTTTGTTACGAAATTGTTCAAAGCAAAATGGACATTATGTCAATTATGTAACTTACAAACTAGATACGAGCAAAAAATTCGCGCATCTTCCAGTGAATTTTTGCGCATGTTCGGGAGTCCTCGGCATTTCCGCAGCTGCCTAGGCGACTCCTGGCGAATACGCGAGACGTGGTGCAAAAGCAGGCGCAGTATGACGTCAAACGTCGACGAAATGTTACAGCCTCAAGGCGCAGTCACGGGAAATATCGCGAAAGCACGCGAGCATTCGCGGGAATGCTCGAGCATCCCAGGGACCGGGCGCGCCTTCTCGCGCAGCGAGGCAATATCGACATTTCCGTTCCGCGGCAATATAAATTGAGCCTTAAGGCACATATCATCACCACCGACCGATAAACTATCTGGCGTATAAATCTCCCAACGCGTGTTGAACAATCGCGTAAAAGATTTTCAGAAAGTTGTATGGTATGAGGTTGCAATCCGCGCTAGGAAGGTTTATTCGTCTTAGAATCTGCAATACGGGATGTTAGACGCTGTAGAAAAATGGAGCGGAGATAATGTGTGCTTAACAGTGTAATTCGGAACCTATATATCTTACCTGCCAATATCGTCATTAACACTACACTGTTTCCCATTACAGCCGTCGATGTTCTTCAATAAGCAAGGCAGTAAAGACTTTAACTTTTCAATCAAATGTTCCAATTGCTGTATGAATATGTTTGCCTGATCTTCTTTAGAGCTTCCATTGATGATTGCCACAAGGCAGTGAAAGAGGTTCGTGTGGATCCGTGCTGGAATGTGGGTTGGGTGGCTTTCGTAATGTCGTTGAAGACGGTAGAAACTGCAGAATTCCTGGAATTTATATTATCAAATTTTTAATTTCCATTCAGTTTTGTTCAATTACTTTGGTGCTGGAAAAAAGTTTGTAAATTAAGATTTGTAAGTAATAATTTCTAATAATGAATTAACTATTTCTTACTAGTACCAAAATAGACAGTTAAATGTGCATAATTCAGGGATTATATAAGTCATTCTTTATAATAACGGGCTTCTTTAGAAAATGTACATGGTAGGCAATATTTTTTAAATTATTATAGATATAGGGGTTATTTAGGGTTTAGGTTAGTATATGAAAAAGCAACCGGAACCAAATTTGTTTGCGTTTCCGGGCTGTGTCGAAAATTATTGCGGATGTCGTTTTTTTAAACAAAAGCTAAAAGTTTAATAGTTCCAATAAAGATGAGTACCTATTTAAATTATTATAGCAAGTCAAAGAATTAATGGATTTACTTTCAGATATCAGATAATCACTTAATATAAATTTTACTTAATGCATTAATCGGTATGTTAAGTTTGATTTGTGTAGCGGGCATATTTAGTGAATCAGTTTTCATTGCTACTATAATATTTTGTTCGCATAGCGTTAATGTCATAGACATAGAAAAAACGGGGGAGATGTGGAATGACGCTATGTAAGATCGCGTACCGATGTCGCCACTATTTAGCAAGTGTGCTTCAAACTTAAATCAAACTTTATGCTCTATCATCTACTACCATAAATAAAACGTGAAATCGACGTATTATTATTAGGGTGGCTTCGTTCGGGGCATATGTAGTCCCTCATCATATGATCTATTGTGATCGCCACTAATTACAGTTCGGAACCAAGGCTGATTTCAAAGAAAAACTGAAGGTATTTCCTTGCTCCGATAGATTTTATGTCCTTTGGTTGTGGCATGTGCCTTCCACCTTCCATACTGATGGAACTTCGTATGCCCATTAGTGGGTAGCATTTGGAGAGAACATGAACAGTAGTTTCATCAGCCTTGTGGCAGAATCTACACTCTATATTCTCTCTCTGCCCAATATTTGACAAGTGCTTGTTCAAGCCACAATGTCCTGTTAAGACTCTATGAGCATTCTGATGACATTCCTGTCCAATGACAGAGCTTCTCTACAGTGTTTGGCACTGTATGCAGCTATCAGGGCTTTTGAATGCTCAAGATCCTGTAGCCACACTTCTCGGGAGACGTGTGTGCTCTAGTTCAGCAGAGTGAGCTTTGCCAGGCTGTACGCTATCCCTATAAAGGGATCGGGTCCAATAAAGGTAACGTTACATAATTTACTATTTTAACCAATTTAAACTTACAGTCACTTGCGTAACAGTAGCTTGCGTTGCGTTAACGCGCTTGCGCACTGCGTCCGAGTCGTAATCGTTCCGAATGAGAGAATTGACGATCCGAAGTAGTCGTAGTACATACAGTCTTCCGAAGTCGAGAATACATTCAATTCGGATCATTATTTTCACGCACCGAATTATACAAATTATTTGTATTGACGCTTGCGCACTGCGTTCAATCCGAGTTCGAACTCGGTGATTACGGCTGCGCGGAGGGATGAAGGCAAACAGCAAATATCGGTACAATAATAATATACATATATACAAAATTAAATTAAAAATCGACCGACCCATTGGTACTTGATGTAACGGGCTGGTGTCCGCAACTCGACGTCAAGGCGCCTATTTTGCGTGTGCTGGGTCGTCCGACATCGACACATTCAGTAATAACAATAAATAAATTTAAACGGCTATCCGAAATATGAGTTGCGTAAAAGTTACTTGAAATAAACGGTTTAATAATATTAATAAATGTCATTATTACAAAAATAGTCAAAATTATTTACTTTTACGGACATCTCACGCTTCACCTAAAAGTTGACTATGCCGAAATTATTCTCACAAAAAAAGATTTAATGGTTCCGAAGACAATTTCTTTGTTTCTTCTATGGTTTCAGATTTCCCCATACTATCCCATTTAAAAAAAAAACTTTCTGTTTCAACTCAAATATACAGGGTGATAAAAAAATCACTGTCCATTTTTTCCTGTGCATAAGATTCAGTAGGTAATACAAGACATTAGTGAAATAAAGTAACAAAAAATACCCATTTTTTCGCTGCTTTAAAATGTTAACCTTTCCCAATATTTCTAACGTGTGTATTCCTCAAAATGGCAAATAAAACTCGAGCGACTGGCACCGCCATGTCAGACGCCACCTGACAGTACGTGTGACGGCGCCGGCGCACGACTATGGCTAGTAGTCGTCGGTCGTTGTTCACAGTGAAGGGACGTATTTCATTGCATAACAATGTATTCACACTGAGAATATTACAAGTGATTCGTCTTTTATCGAAAATGGTTGGAGTCTTAACGAAGCTCGAAGACTGTATGAGATGGAGAGCATCCCCCACCTGCGAGCTTAGGGCTTGGTGAATCGAAGGGTTCCTCAACGAAGTACAATTTTAGCGGTAAACCCACGCCTTCTCGACTAGGGCCAGATTGCGTTGTCAATTCGCGCGCGCGGAGGTGGTCGGCAGCGAATGCCTCTAGAAGTAGAAGATCAAATGCTGTGTGCGACAAATTTTAATGAGTGTGTACGAAGGCCGATAGATAAGCCGTAGCGGACCAGTACCTTGGCCTGTCAGGTCACCCAATGTAATTTAATTTTGTGAGGTGAACGCCACGTGTATGTCTACAAAGCTCAAAGCAGTGACAGACAAAAATCAAACATTATCAGTGCATTAAACGCTTTAAAGTGTCTTCGAAAATTACAGAAATACGTTATTAGAAATAAATAAAGGGTCAGCAACAACCTCAGCAATTACCTTGTTCTACAGGGAATCGTATCCGGGACCTCCTCACCAATGCTCACAGATCTAGCCTTCGGCCACCGAGGTCAATTGAGTCTTTTTACTTCTCAATCTTTAATTTCATTATTTTTCGTTTAACGAAGGTAAACGATTCTTTTATGGGGAACTGTATATATACGTTTTTACAATAAGATTTCAGAGCATATATTAAGAATTTTTCCTTTCCTAAGTTTAAAACTTACATTAAAAGTATTTTAGTTGAAAAGTCATATTACATAATTGTAGACTACGTGTTAGATAAAGATGTATGGAAAGACAACGTGAGTCTAGATTCCGCACAAATATGATTCAACATGTATTTCTATATCATCTAAGTTTATTTGAAAAGAGCAATCCCTAGAATTTCTTGCTCATTCTTCTCAGGGACGTCAGAGTAGTGAACGAGCAGTAGCTTAAAAAATGACGTTTTCAAGTGTAAAAATTTTATGTAAGGAATAAATGATTATTTGACTTTGATAGATCTTAGGGGCACTACCACTGCGCCCGTCACTCTGAGATGTAAGTTGATAAGTCCCATGTGCCTGTAATTTCACCATCATCCTTGCCTTCAAAACAGAAACACAGTAACGCCGACGTTACTGTTTGGCGGCTGACATAAATTTGTAGTGGTAAATTGGCAGTACTTCCCTGGAGGAACTCTCACACAAGGAGCTCTTCTGCTGCTAAAATGCATTTGGTTTCATGTGCAATATAGAAAACCAATTGCCTACTTACTGCTGAGCATTGAAAGCAGTTCACAACAGAAGAGCTGGCTCTTTTCTTAGGTTTTTGCGGCGACTCTCTTGGCATCATTGGTTTTTTTAGCTTCACAGTTCTGCCACTCCTTGTTACTTTAGGCTAAAAAAACGAATTTGCTATTTACTAAAGTATTATTATAAAACAATATAGGACAAAAGGCACAAATGTCTATTAACAGACAATATATTTTTTTAATGAATATTAAAAAATATACCTCGGCAGGTACTTCGGGTTCTGATTCTTCTACATGTTCTGCAATATCTTCCATTTTCTTTAATAGTGGTAACTTTTTTACTTCTTGTTGTTTTTGGTTCACATCCAGTGGTTTTTTTACTTCTGGCTTCTTCTTCACTTCTGGTTTCTTCTTTATATCTGGTTGGATTTTTATTTCAGGTTGTTTTTTTATTTCTGGCTGTTTCTTTACTTCTGATAGCTTGTTAATTTCTTGTTTTTTCTTAAGTATGACTCCATTTTTCCCCACTACAGTGAGGTCTCTTGGGGACACAATCCTAAAAAAAAACTAATCTTAAAGAGATGTGAGTTAGTAATAATTATATTTTGATTAATATAAACATTATAAATATTAAACCATATTTTTTCTGGCTATATTCATACAATTCAGAATTAACATGGCGAGGCTTAGATTGTAACAGGTTCAACTGTGACTCTTGCAACGGGATAAATGTGTACATACTTGTAAATAAACTTGGTGTTGGTAACAGGGTCATAAGCAGGTTCCAATGGTGCTTGCTCTGGATTGCTAAAGATCTTCAGTGCCTTGCTTACAATCTTCATCTGGTCCTCATTGAGTTGGTTGAGACTGAAGTTTCAAAAACATTACATTCTAAACATTTTTTCAATAAATAATAATAAGCATAACATTTTTCATGCTGTTGTAAAAGCTATAAGATAAATAGACAGGGGTATGCTGATTAAACAATGGTGTTAATGTAAAATAAATATCTAACCTATACATGGACTGGCAATTTTTTTTTTAATAATATATCTTTGCTAATATGCACTGCACTGTGGGGTAAGTCAACCAAGTTGAATAGGGTATTTATAACACTTTAGCGCAATGAACTGTCATTTCACTCCATCTTCAAAACAGACAAGACTATAGAGAAAATAAATAACTTTAGAAACCAACCTGTGATATGTCTCTCCCAACTTCAATAACTGCACAGAAGTGAGCTTGGACGGATTGGGGTCTACCCTAAAAGAAAACATTTAACATTTCTAAATATCACCAATTAAATCAAGAGAATAGGCTACTGGAGACCTGTGCCTTTTGTCCATACAGATCACGACATATTTAATTTAAAGTTATAGTACCGACTTCAGTAATCAAATTATTAGAAAGAAAGAAAAATTGTTTATTAGCGTCATAATTATGCCACATTACAATTTACAAATTTTACATTCTTAAGCCTAGATATAAGTATAATGCTAAACCGACTTTTACCAACCGATTATTAGATATTTGTAACACAATACGAGTTTTTTGCATTGAGTTTATAATTATAATTATGAGATTTAAATATTGAAGTAATTATGATGTATAAACTTACTTTTCTTTTGGTTTCATCTTTGGCAATGTCCTAAATTGATTGCGGTTTGTGTATGGTATAGTCCCCACCCGCACAATCTTCCGGTCAATTTCAACCCTCGGTCCAGTTCCATTATCACCTATTGCAGTAACAACCGGTTTCACAATAACATTATTTACTGGTATCGACAAAGCTGGTATAGGTACAGGCTTTTGCAAGGTCTGTGCATTGTGAATATTACTAATTGTACTAATGTTTTGTATAGAATTTTGTACATTCTCAGTCTTAGGTAGTAAAAAACTTGCTAATTTCAAGTTATTGCCAACGACATTATTTTGTTTCTTCAAAATCCGCGGCTTGGTATTCGGGCTACTGAGTAAACAGGTTTCTAAATTGCCGCTATTTTCGTAAAACCTTTTCAGGTTATCCGTCACTGGTTTCTGTTCATCCTGGTTGCTTGGTGCTACATAATACGGCCCAGCCTGCAAAGTAAACATTATTTATGGATTAAGGACAGATACGACTGTCAAAATTGTAGAGGAATCGGGTAAAATTATACCTGTGTGACGCCAGAACTTTGAATCAAGTAAATAGGCGTATATTCGCATGAGTTGACAACAATGTTCTCTGAAGTTCCATTCATAATTTACATACGTGACTGTAGATGATTATTTTAATTCAATTTGGACATAACAAATGACATAATTAATACAAAATTGAGAAAATAAACAAACTCCCTCCGCCTTTTGCAATAATGACAACTATTATTTCGTCCAGAATTTTTGTCCAAAATTATTGCAAATTGCGTTACTGAACGATTATGCGTCTATTTTTCTTATCTACGCCACTTAAAACAGCCCATTCACTACCTGCATGGCAGACCGCTCACACACTATCCTGCATATGGCCCACGTATGAAGTCTCGAAGGACGCATTGCAGGATGGTTTGCACGCTGTGACTACATGGATAACCCTGTATTACGCAGCGGACTGACAGTCCACCGCAAACTAGCAGCGCAGAACCGAAATAGCTCGCACACTATCCACGTATTGAGTCTCGCAGGACGCATTGCAAGGTGGCTTGCATGCTGCGACTAGACAACATTCATAATCCTGCATTCAGCTTGATTCACAAAGAACTAATACTGT